CCAATGAAATCTTCACAGACGTACCAAAAAAAAAACTGCACTTGATATGAAAATGATCAAATTCAAAGTATTTGATTGGACATTGCCCAGAGTCATCTAGATCCTTTTCTTATTAGGATTAGTCAATTAGTCAATTTTTAATCTGCACATTCTCCGCACGGATCACCTCCGCCATCTTTTCTTCCAATTGTTGTTTTATGATTATTTTGTATTAAAATCGTGCATTTACTTATGTTCACTATACATTTATACCAATATATCTTAATGAATTTTTACCGCCAAACACACCCCCACTCCCGCAAAAAATAAGTAAATAAAAGATTTTTCAATTTTTCTTAAATAAAAGTATACAGCGAGAAATTATAAAAATAAATGATCTTGTTGTATTTTTCAGTTGCTGGGAATAGTTATGTCGATAAGATGTGTGAAGTTGGCGGCCCAGCGGCCTGGCGGCGTGAAGTTGGCGACCCAGCGGCCCAGCGGTCTGGCGGCGTGAAGTTGGCGGCCCAGCGGCCTGGCGGCCAAAAATTTTAATGTTGTAGAAATTTTATTTTAACACTAAAACGGCATTTAATAAAGTTTTAAAGATAATTATTGTTATCTAAAGGATATATAAAAAGAAAAATCACTTTCAGATATGTATCTGTAAACGTGACCGGGACGGTGGAAACAGCCTGTACTAATGTGAAGTAAAAAAGCGTATATAACATACATACTGATTTGTGTGTTGACAAAGACTGACATTGGAAATTAAACATTTAAAGATTCTTAAGAATTTTTCTTGTGGGGCGTATGTGGGTTTGGGGGGTATATTTTTAATGGAAATATCATTATGTTGGGGAAAGAAATATTGTAAATATATATGACGTAAGTTATTTTTGGATGGGTTTGACTAAGAGGAACACTTTTTTGTGGCGATACACAGTTTTTTGTTTATGGCATATTGTACATGTAATTTTATTTTCAAAGTTTGACGTTGAAGGCTATGTTTGATTTAATTATAAGAATAAAGAAGAAAAATATTCACTTATTTCATTTTACGTTATCTTTTATTCTCCGTCATTTTGGTAATTCGGCATAGGATTCTCTGTTATGTATGATGGCTGATTTATGCCATGCCGTACTTTTGCTCCACGGGGCGCCAGTCGAAAACACAAAAATAAGATAGCATTTGGTTACTTTGTTGTATTTTTGTGTTTTCGTCTGGCGCCCAACAGGACGAAAGTACAACAAAGTGGTCAACTGTCGTATTTTCGTGTTTTCGCCTGGTGCCTTGCAGAACAAAACTACTACATGGCTCAAATCAGCTACCATAGTTAGTCGATAAAATATAGAAGAACTATAACATCTACCTGAAGATGCCGAAAATTTCTTTTGCAATATCCGAACTTAACGAAAATACAGTGTAGCTATCCCGCGTATTTCGTTATTTCGCAGATGAGCTTTAAAAAATTTCTAGAGTATAGTTCTCTTCAAACAAAAAGTTAAAATCTCATTCATGTATGTCGGAGCTGCTTGGATACAGGTATAGCGCTATGATGTTTTCATTGGTAGCGCTTTACTGGTATTCGGATATCTATAATTATGTGCAGTGCTAGCGTTTGCGGATAATACCATCCACGAGTAGGCCGAATCAAATCGAATTTGCAGCATTGTCAATATTTGCTGTTTGAGGGCATTTTTTTACATCATTATTTTAGGTTTCCACTTTAAAGTGTCTTTTTACTCTACGAGTGTTCTTGCCATGGGTGTTTTTTTAAATCCACCAAATTAATCTTTTTCTTGTTAGGTGGTTCAAATATTCCTCATTCAATACTGTTTAGTCAGCCTTAGGAAATGTTACCTGTTTGTCTAATTAAATCTATGGCTGACAAGTACAAATGTTGCTGCAATGCAGCCATTCAGAAGCTGCGCGCAAAAAAAAATGCGCTCATTATACAGATACCTTACCAAATCATTCCTACACACAGATCATTTTCTATTAAGATTCACGTCCCAGATAAATACTGAAAGTAGAACACACACTGGAATGGAAAATTTTGGATAAATTTCAAAAGGACCAATTTCAGGATTTTTTTTTATATACGCGTTAACTAAAATAATGGTACATCAAAAATCATGAATGCATGGCAAGTTGATATGGTGAAACATTATTTACCGCTCAAGGTTCGAATCCCGATTGGGTTTTTGGATTTTTCCATGTGAAGAAGGTATCCAATTAGCTTAGCTAACGGAAACCAGGTGCCCGTTCGTGCCTGTAAAACAAGCAAGAAAGGGCACCTGAGGTCTTCCTCAAACATTGATCTATACTGCGCTGTGCAACGTTTAACCCAATCAACAGACAAACAAAACATCTTCCTCCAACATTGGCCTATACTGTGTCGGTGCAACGTTTAGCCCAATCAGTCAAACAAATAAAACATCTTCTTCCAACATTGGCCTATACTGTGTTGGTGCAACGTTTAACCCAATCAAACAAACAAATAAAACTTCTTCCTCCAACAAAGACCTATACTGTGTTGGTGCATTGGTGCAACTTTTAACCCAATAAAAAAAAACTTGTTCCTCCAACATTGGCCTATACTGTGTTGGTGCAACGTTTAACCCAATCAAACAAACAAACAAAACATCTTCCTCCAACATTGGCCTATACTGTGTTGGTGCATCGTTTAGCCCAATCAAACAAACAAAGAAACAAAACATCTTCCTCCAACATTGGCCTACACTGTGTTGGTGCAACTTTTAACCCAATCAAACAAACAAACAAAACATCTTCCTCCAACATTGGCCTATACTGTGTTGGTGCATCGTTTAGCCCAATCAAACAAACAAAGAAACAAAACATCTTCCTCCAACATTGGCCTATACTGTGTTGGTGCATTTTTTAACCAAATTAAACAAACACACAAAACAACTTCCTCCAACATTGGCCTATACTGTGTTGGTGCATCGTTTAGCCCAATCAAACAAACAAAGAAACAAAACTTCTTCATCCAACATTGGCCTATACTGTGTTGTTGCATCGTTTAGCCCAATCAAACAAACAAAGAAACAAAACTTCTTCCTCCAACATTGGCCTATACTGTGTTGTTGCAACGTTTAGCCCAATCAAACAAACAAACAAAACTTCTTCCTCCAACATTGGCCTATACTGTGTTGGTGCAACGTTTAGCCTCATCCAACAAACAAACAAACAAAACTTCTTCCTTCAACATTGGCCTTTACTGTGTTGGTGCAACGTTTAGCCCAATCAAACAAACAAACAAAACATCTTCCTCCAACATTGGCCTTTATTGTGTTGGTGCAATGTTTTAGCCAGTCAAACAAACAAACAAAACTTGGCGATAAATGAAAACTCACAATACAGTTTAAGTAACTTGAGTCTTTTTCCATGATTTGTTAGATGTAAATGATAGAATTCATGACGCAATTCACAGAGAAGATTTAGTAGCTATAGTTATCGTACAATATAAAAGTACTTGATATTTAGGAACATATGCATTACGGTCCTTAAATGTCAAATGTATGTATTATAATACAAAACTCTTATAACAATTTGCAGACAGCAATGAAAGCAACTTATGTTCTGTTGTAAGTAATAGAAATATGTGATAATGGGGGCGTCGGTGACCGAGTGGTTAAGGTCGTTGATTTCAAAACACTTGCCCTTCACCGCTGTTGGTTCGAATCTCGACGGGGACTTTTTCTTCTTTTATGTGAGGAATCTATCCCGGTAGCTTCCGGAACGTCGGTGGTTTAGTTCGTGTGCCCGTTCGTGCCTGAAAAAATAATGTACAGAAGGGCATCCGAGGGCTTCCTCCACCAATAAAGCTGGTGAAAGCGGTGTCACCAATATACGTGTCCGTGCAACGTTTAACCCAATAAAACAAACAAACAAAACTTGGCGATAAAGGAAAACTCCCAATACAGGTAAAGTAATTTGAAACTTTGTCCATGATTTGTTTAGTAAAAATGCTCGAACACAAGAGGTAAGCAATGTAACTGTAAAGATTATATCAGTAATGACTATGATAGGATAACACATCTCAGTTGTTGATGTTGGTTTTTGTTGTTTGTTTGTTGTTGTTTTTATTATTACTTTTTTATTATTATTTTTTTCAAAACGGAAATACATATAAAGAGATTATATAACAAAAACATTTTACAACTACAACTGTGCTAACTGTTAAAGAAACAACACAAGAGAAAATATGTTAAACTATAACATTCATCAGTTACTCGTTTTAAATCGGCTTACTTCGTCACTATCAGCGTCATTGTTCATTTTTTGTAATAATTAATTAACGTTAAACCTTAAACACTATACTTAATTATCTGTTATACTTGCTATACATGCTATACAAAACCCATTTTACCCGTTCTACACAAATCTTAATTTTCTTATTAGATCAAAAGAGCAGATGCTTCCACTTGTAAATACATATATTAATCTTTCTTCTTAATATCATCACTTCGTTTTGTCATTCAGAAAAGTGGGGTTGGTAGAAATGCACTGCTCAGTTAACTCAAAACTCTTTCTATTGTAGTAATCAAGTTTCAAATCTGTATGAAAATTACTAATAATTAAAAAGTTATACACATAATATACACGTAATCATGATTTATTAACATAAGTATCATCACTAACCTGTTTATTATCTTTATTCAAGTTATAAACTTCATGGGAAATTAAAGCGGCTTCCAGCTTTTCTAAAGGTTAACTATGTTTTTTCAGATAAATCGTTTCATATAATTGTCAAATAAAAAATAATAGGGTGGAAATGAAATTTGCCGACAATGAAATACATAAATAATAAAGAAACTCCTAGATATCTCTAACCTACCGGTCCAATTAGTATTATTATTATTATAGTATACTGTAGCGGACGAATCGTTTCCAGATCTTCTATTTTTAGAAATGACGTCACTGACGCGTTATAAATAGATCTCGGGACGCTGTTTTAAAGAAAATAAACAGTCACATGTTTTTGTTGTTGTTGTTTGTTTTTTGTTTTTTTCTTTTTTCAAAATAAAATTACTTAAATACTTAGTTTGAAACAAAGCAAAATTGTTTTTTCGAACAGAAAATAAAAGCAGAAGGCCGCTTTAATGAAAACAGATATATGTACAGACGATTTGTTGAAAATTTCTTAAAAAAAAACCGACACTGCTTTGATGCCTTTCTCTTCTTATATATGCTTCCAAAGACTTCTGTTACAATTAAATAGAGCTCTGTGATATTTCTGAAGACAAACCTTTTATCAACATGATCCATTATTTTGTTGTTTTTTTTATTTTATTTTTTTAAATACACACGTTTATTTTGTCACACTTTTGATACATAAAGAACTTCTTCTTGTAAATTATTATCTACACTGCGTCAGATATTCAAACGACTGTAACTGTAATCATTTCCGGTGTCCATGTACGATCCAGCGGCGAAGAAAATACCAAGTATCTAAATAAGGAAAATTATATCTTATTTGCTTAACAATGCATGGTCGTTGAAATTCAAATTAAAGTGACATTATGTCCATCTAAAGGTATATTATTAGTTATAAAGATTGTTGACAGGTTATATGGCCCTATATAAACGGCTAGTTGTAAATATAACCCGAGCCGCTAGGCGAGGGTTATATTGCAAACAGCCGTTTATATACGGCCATATAACCTGTCAACAATCTTTATAACGAATTTATAATACAGCAAACATCATTTTTTAGAAATAAAAGTAAGATTTCTTCATGAATCGACAACAGCCGTGTATATAAAACTATATAAACGTCACGATTATCCAATGAAAAGTGACGTTACATACGTGCAGTATTATAAAGTGAGTGAACTGGTAAGAGTCAAAATAAATTTTCATTTTGCCATAATTCCTTTTGATTTAATGATTTACTTCGGATAAACAATAAATAACCACCGGATTCAAACGTAATTTAAGTAAATATCATTCAGAATTAACCTGTAACGTTCAATTTATAAAAAGAGTCTTTTTATATTTTTTTCAGATTTTAAATTTTATCCTAAACATTTTCCAATATAATCTGTTGGTCAAAAGTCATTTAACCAGTCAATCTTTTGAAATATAAAGTCAATTCAGCTCAACTTGACAATGAAAATATGAGCATAATGTCACTTTAAAATACAAGATATTTTTTTTCTTAATTATTATCTCCCATAATGTAATGTAAGTTGTCCTTCCATATAAATTTATAGTTTATGTCATATTCCGGTACTTGTTTTCGGGGTCCATACACATACCAATGGCCAGGAAAAATGTCACAATCTAAATTATAAAAAATGTTATCAAATTTTCTAGGAAAATAGATTTAGTATTAGAATCAACCGACAAATCAATAGATCAGTCAAAATTAGTAAAGAAAAATACTTGTAGATAAAATATTATGAAGTTTATACGCAGTACAATATCACTAAATTGTTTGGATGAGTATACAGCTCTTAAATAAATCTATATTGGACGAAGCACTGGCCGAGTCTGATATGGGTTTTGCAGCTGTGTACGAATTCAATCCAGTAAGCATTGTTCTCATTGTTTATAATGACTTATTGTTTCACACCACCATTTTTGACATTTTGACAAAACTGTGTTACTTCAAGTAAAATAGTTTTTATATATGAATTTTTGGACTCTGAAATGAAAATGAGACTTGACAGAGTGTGATATGCATTTTGATATAGATTTTTTTTGAAATCGAGGCTATATTGGGCACGATAGGCATGTGGAGTGGGTATTTTGGACTCTGGAAATTGAAACAATAATCGATTAGCTGGATCCAATAACAATTCGTATTAAAGTATCACGAGGTGCAACCACTAAAAGTTCATTAGTTATATCTTATAAAGTGTGAAATAAATTGATATACAGTAGTGATGGTTGGTCAGGATCTTTTTCTCTTAGATTCTGTATTAATATTCAAGTTGGACAGCAAATAGGCCACAGCTAGAGAGTAACAAATTATGGCTTCAGAGTTCCTATCTTCCAACAAATGATGGTATATTGCTTTTTCACATTTTTGCCCTTCGTTAGACCAAACCTAGTCCGGCCAGTTCTTTCCCACTGTTCTTTGTTTCTGTTTGGTGACTGATAATCTGTAAGTCACTGTCATGTACCATAACATATATCATTGACCTTTAAAATAACACCAGCAAATCACATTGATATGCTTTAGATAACTGTAAAAGGTCGTTATCAGAGGTGTGGCAGCAACAGCAATAGAGTCTTATTTGAAAATTCAAATTATTATCTAGAAATGAGCTTACAGCAAAAAAAATGTGAGACATTACCTGTAGGACAGCAATTGTAACTCCAACACCAATTATAGTGGCGACGTTGGCATAAATAATGTCCTGAAGGCTGGTAAAACATCCCTGTGAAACACAAGTTCTCTTTCATGAATTTCGTATTTTTTTTTCTATTTTAGGCCATCTCAAGGGCAGATAACTTATACATAAGTCTGACTAACCTTATTTGACGTTTGCTTTAAATTTTCAGTTATAATTGGTCGAAATATAAAATTTAATGAAATTCCATTAAACACTTTGTCTCGTTCTTTCCAGTTTCACTTAAGAGTCTGAAAACCTAAAAATATGGCATTACAGTAGTTTAAAGCCACTGACCTCCAGATGGTAATATGAAAAAAATGAAATAAAATTTCAAGTAAATGGTAATTACTGATCTACATTGTAGTTAGGTTTATTGTATAAATCCATCATTACTGACACCTTAATTCAAGAAAGAATGTTGACAAAAGCGTTAATATATCGGGTTTTCTTTTCCATAATCTACTTCGTTACTAACACAGTAGCCAATATCAGAGACATAGATATGTCTCTACCAATATAAATAGGAGAAGATAATTCATTTAACGCGGTCACGTGTCACAACAGTGATCCGGAAAAATCCCGGTATCCGGTATGCCAGGGATCGTTTATCAATTTTCGTCATTAAGTAGGTCCCTATCACATTTCAAGCTAAAGGTTAAATCGATAAATTGGTCATCATATATATGAAATAATTAATCAATTATAATTTTAGTGCCATGAATTACTTCAAATATAAAAACATATATTAGCAAGACGGCAGTTTTTTCTGCTATCTTCTGGAGTTCAGCTGCTTTAAAGAGAATTGATAAGAATCGATAGGTACGGTAAAGAAGAAAAACAAATAAAGTATGCTATACAATTTTTAAAGTAAAAAAAATCACAATTTTTAAGGAAAATGCTAAGGTCAAAGAATAAAATGGCCCTAGTGGTATGAACTTGTCACATGGTTATGATGTGAATCGTGATACTACGTAATTATATTCAATAAAGGAGTTGGTGTAAAAATAATTTCTACGGTTCAGGGGAGATAAATATTGAAGTATTGCTTTTAGAATTATGGATCTTTCATCTAAAACATGATTTGGTTGCTACTGGTTGTGATAAGAAACATTGTATCGAAAGTTTAATGTAGAAGAAGTTATAGTAAAAAATATTATATGCGAAAGAAACTTTAATCAGAAATCTGCACGCTGGCGCCTAAGAGTACGCAGGGGTTAGTAGGACAGTGCTCTATATAGTTTGCATAATAATAATTATCATGATGATGATGATGATGATGACGATATCTTTATTTATAGAAAGTAACACATGAAAATATACCATCGCAGAAAACAAATAACATATTTCAATTCTAAATGTGGCCTTCTAAACAATATATAGAAACACAAAACATCATAAAACAATAACAACAGTTAACTATTCCATAAAGATTTTGTCATTTATACAATTTTCATTAAAAAATATTTTTAGGAAATATACATTCATGATAAGTATTATAACATAATGACATAATGACAGAGTTATGACGATATTTATTTGATCTGCAAGATATGTTTTTATACTTATTTTTAAAAGATATCAGGTATATTAGAAGTATATTATAGTCAGCTAAAAGTCATAACACTGTGATTTTTTCCAACATTTTACAGCCGAATAAGGGCTGTTTCCCCTAGCCCAAAATAAGTATATTTTCCCCTATAAAAAGCTAATATTTCCCCTTAAATGCCCTGTGCACTTTTTCACCAGTACCATGACTTATCCTTCGATGTCAGTGCTAACTTCTCAATACTGGACTTACCAGCATCTGACTTATATCAGAAAGCTATCCCTATATATAGCCCTTGCTATGTATCATGCATGTTAAATTGAATTGAAATTGAAAATCATATGTATGGGTAAATTCCATTGTTGGAATTTGATTTCAGATTTCCCCTCTTCTGATATATCGCGCTATATTTTCCCCTTCATAAAGCTACAGGTTGTTTTTAAAATTGGAAAAAATCACTGTAACACTTACAGTTGTTTCAAGAACATGAGAAGATGTAATATTTCCATCGATGTACATGCGAGCGTCCATCTGACACTGTGTACGATTCTGTGGTGCCGGGTGGTCGGCGTCTGTGTTTGTCAAAACACAGCAAGTGGTCGGGACAAACATGTACTGATTGAAAAAATAATACGATTAACATACTTGAACTAAATACAAACACATAAAAACTAAATTGAAATATGAAATAGCATCAGAAATTAGATTGAGTGTACTAATATGCAATACATTGTAATTGTCAATACTTGGTTATTAAATAAGCACTGATCTGTTAATTTAACATTTTTGTAACAACATAAATAAATTGTGTGCGTGTCATGATAAAAACGAACCATCAAAGTGATATCAAAGTCATCAGTGCATGTACTAGCATTGGTTTTGATATATCGGGCTCGAGCACAATAAATAGAACCATCCATCTACCATAAGCCACATTGTTGGGGTCAGACCCTGTCGCAACTTTGACCTAACCTTTCAAACTCTCAGATAATATATCTATCTCTTTTCAGACTTAGTGTTTGCGTGTATTCATTTTGAACGTGTATCAAACTAAGTATGCAGATACCAAGTCGTATTAAATTGTTTCAAAATAACTGTTTGAGATCTGACAGGAGCACAACAATGCGGTAAGTAAGGTCACTTGTGTTATGTTTTCGGCCTAGCGGCCTGGTGGCCAAGCGGTTTGAAGTTTCCGGCCTAGCAGCCTGGTGGCCAAGCACTGTGAAGTTACCAGCCTAGGGTCGTAAAGTAAGCGACCGGGCGACCAAGCGGTGTGAAGTTGTGGACCTAGCGGCCTGGCGCCCGATTGGGCAGCCGAGCGGTGTGAAGTTAACGGCCTGGTGGCCGGGCGGTCAAGCGGTGTGAAGTTAGCGGCCGGGCGGCCAAGCGGTGTAAAGTTGGTGGCAAGAGATGACAAGTACAGGTCTTGAAGTTGTGGATACAACTCTCTTGCGAAGGATAAGCGGCATTTCTATGTTGGGGGATACTCTTTTGCCCTACGCAGCTTTCGCATGCGTGCGAAATTACTACATCTTGTCAATTTTTATAGCAAAGGTACGGAATGCCGTTAGGGCCATCGCCTATGAATGGTTTGATCTGAAACGCGATACTCGAAAGTATGATGATGAAAACGCGAAATCACGAAACTACGATGGTGAAAACGCGACAGTACGATGATGAAAACACGACAGTACGATAACGAAAACGCGATAATACGACAGTACGGTGATGATAATACAATCAACTATCGTGTTTTCATAATCGTACTTTCGCGTTTTTACCATCGTAATATCGTGATTTCGCGTTTTCATCACCGTACTGTCGTATTTTCATCATCGTACTATCGCGTTTTCACCATCGTACTATCGCGTTTTCATCATCGTACTGTCGTGTTTTCATCATCGTACTATCGCATTTTCACCATCGTACTTTCGTGTTTTCATCATCATACTTTCGCGTTTTCATCATCGTACTATCGCGTTTTCATCATCGTACTATCGCGTTTTCACCATCGTAGTTTCGTGATTTCACGTTTTTACCATCGTACTATCGACTATCGCGTTTCAGGTCAACACATTCATAGGCAATGGCCCGAACGGCATTCCGGAATGCCGTTAGGGCCATCGCCTATAAATGGTTTGATCTGAAACGCGATACTCGACAGTGCGATGATGAAAACGCGAAATGACGAAACTACGATGGTGAAAACGCGACTGTACGATGGTGAAAACACGATAGTTTATCGCGTTTTCATCCTCGTAGTATCGTACTGTCGCGTTTTTATCATCGTACTATCGCGTTTTCACCATCGTAGTTTCATGATTTCGCGTTTTCAACATCGTACTATCGACTATCGCGTTTCAAATAAACACATTCATAGGCGATGGCCCGAACGGCATTCCGTACAAAGGACCCCGTCGTAGCAAGAATGGTTCTTCAACGTTGAGTGAGTCTATAATTCAACCATGTAAAACCTGTAGCAAATTTATCCGATTGTATCCGAATGTGTGTATAGTAACAAGCGTTAACAAATAAATGCTATCATGTTGAATAACAAGTAAATTAAATCTGTTCATATTACATTACAAAATAGCTATGTGGTTTACGACGCATACGGCTGACTGAAAATGCAATTTTAAACCGAAATACGAAAAATAAACCATAACTTTACCGGATCATTGAATTTCACTCCCGTATAGTCTTTCGGACCCTTTGATCCACAGCATTTCAGCTGAAAGTAATACAAAACAGTCATGTAAACAGAAATAATATTTTAAAGTTACATTATGATATATATATTTTTTTTTGCTGTCAAGTTGAGTCGAATTTGTAATTCTAAAGATTGGCTATTTAAAAGGTAGTTGGCCAATAACTGATAATGAAAAGTGTGTATGATACAACATAAAACCTACTTAATTAATTATAAAATGACTGTCCCACTCTTCTTATGAATTGAGCATTACCGATACATTTTGAACAATATATAAGCCGCGTCACGACAAAACCAACATAATGGGTTTGCGACCAGCATCGATCTAGACCAGCCTGCGCGTCCGCGCAGTCTGATCAGGATCCATGCTGTTCGCTTACAAACCCTATTACAACTAGAGAAACTGATAGCGAACAACCTGGATCCTGATCAGAATGCGCGGATGCGCAGGCTGGTCTGGATCCATGCTGGTCGCAAACCCACTATGTTGGGTTTGTCATGGCGCGGCTCATATATAGAAATTTCCGAAGCTCACATGAATTATTGATTAATTGTTCATAATAAAATACGAAATTGAACACTATTATGGCAAAATGTCAAGTTGTTTCTATTTTACCTGTTCACTGAGAATTTACACTTGGATGGGCATGTCCCATTAAAGCTTTTGAAAAAAAAACACCTTTAAAGTAAAACTGACATGCCTTCAGAAAAGTAAATTGATTTTCAATATAAACATTAGCAATTCATGTACAAAGTTTTATAAATACGAATGTATTGTCTATCATTTGACCGAAATTATTACTCTAACCATCAAAATCTTAATCCATATATTAACGCATGGGGATAAATTCTGCATATTTTGAAAATTTCTGTGGATAGTAAATGACTTTGACCATGTTAAATCACTTAATTTGAACAGAAGGTAATATTGTTACTCATTAAAACCACCTGTCATCTTTTATCATATTCATAAAAAAAATCAACATAAAATCTTGGGGCGTGCCTCTTTAAAGTTAAAAGGTTTCAAAGCAACCGCCCACGTGCGTTTCAAACGAGCAGTCATTTAATACGATTATTACCCAGGTCTGAACGTTATCCCAATCATCAGCATTATCACTCCCTTCTTTATAGGTCTTGATGGTCTTTTTGAGTGAATTTGATAAGGAATCATCAATCTGAAAAGTGATTAAATGAAAAGAATCTGTGATTAAGCTTTAAACGGAAGGATTAGTGAGATTGAACGAAAAAAAATCTCACAAAAAAGCTCCCACATATTTGTTACGAGCAAAATCGGTAAATTGACTTAACTGTTGCAGGCAAAAGATAGTTTGTATTTGAGAGAAATAACCAATCATGCAGACATTAATTGAGCCGTGCCATGACAAAACCAACATAGTGGGTTTGCGACCAGCATGGATCCAGACCAGCCTGCGCATCCGCGCAGTCTGATCAGGATCCATGCTGTTCGTTATCACTTTCTCTTCTTGTAATAGGGTTGGAAAGCGGATGCGCAGGCTGGTCTGGATCCATGCTGGTCGCAAACGCAATATGTTGGTTTTGTCATGACATGGCTCAATTCGTTTGAACGTCTTAAAAATTGACGTTATACTGTAGAACAAAACCAGTCACAACTTCTCGGCCCTTTCTGTGAAACATCGGGGTAATCGGCGGGCACAAAACTAAACATGCTTACCTCTCCGTTAAATTTCCCGTACACAACAGCTGCTGCCACACAACATCCAAATATAACCAGCAGACATAACACGTACTGTAAATAAATACAAAACAAATGATGACGTCATATTACAATTACAGATTAACCATTACAAAGCGGCCCACTGAAGAGCAATGACCTTTCCCAAATTAACAATGCCAAAAAAAAAAAATCAACCTCAGTAGACTAATGCCTCGCAGCAGCAACCAAAATCTATGTTAAACTGTATTTTTAAGAGGGAAAATTCAAATAAAATCAAAATTTGGAAAAGTCATTATTCATTATTTTATTATTTATTAAAGGATATTCTTTAATATTAGGTTGAATCCGATGGCTTTTGTATTAAATTAAGTCACACATTATACAAAATGGCGACACATGACGTTAATCCACGGAGAATGTGTGGTGTAGGGGTAGAGCATCGGACTCCTGATCCGGAGGTAGTGGGTTCGAATCCCACCAGAAATTCTTTTCCGTCTTCCAAAACGGTGATGCGCTTATTGGTAATGATATCCGGGAAGGAGTCAACTTAAAATGCATGTCTAGGTCCTCAAAATGGGATTTGACTATATTGAGAAAACAAACAAACAATTTGTATGACGTCATGAAAATTCTCAACGTTGTGCGTTGTATCTTACAATGCCATGATTTGTATAGAACGGGTATTTCGGTGTGATATAATTTATATCTAACTGTTTTATTTGAGTACTAAGATAAAACAGTAGAGTAGACACGGAATTAATCAGCGCAATGAAGGCAATAATCAATGGAAAGAAAGCTTATTTGTGAAATTTATCAGTAAATAAAGGTAAATAATTCAGCCTTACCAAAAATATCAAAAATTTATTTCCACGGTAGACCGCCAGACAACCAAATGCACTGACAACAACAACAAAAAGTCCGAACCCTATCAGAGCCAATCCTGCATTTGTCAGTGTGCTGTCACCGAGGCCATGATCCACAAGATCTTGTAAACTGACGAATCTTTTCTCGACCTTGACCCGTATTCCTATACCGACAATGGCGGCGGCAGAAATCTGAAGAAAACAAAATCAGAGAGCGTGAATAGGCCATTCTCTGTGACATCTTCACAGTCCAAAGGTTTCAAAGATTGCGAGCAAATTCATAAATTACAGGTAAAGTTATCTGATGACATGGCATTTTTGTATCATTAGAAACTTTAGCTCCACTATTGTCTGTAGTCAAAATATATTGATGTAGCAAAGCTTGATTCCGAGATATTTTTGTTTTGGAACGGAATCTCGCTTCTAGAGGGGAGATGTTTCCCATACACAAAATAGAACGATATCTAATCGAGTGAATATATGCGTAAATTAACGTATACATACCAGGAAAATAGTGTTGAACAATACAAGACAAAATTTACACAAAGCAGAATTGCCGCAACATCCACATCCGCAGCCGATACCACACCCACATCCTTTACCACGACCTCCGAAAGTCTGAAAATTTGTGACATATAGGTAATCTTGAATTTTATTGGAGAGGTCATCAGACCTCTCCATAGTGTTCAGACTGATTGCTGGCGGCATCCATTTTTGCGTATCTGATTGCAGTCAATGAATCTCATTTTAAGCGTAAAATCATTAGGAGCAGTCTACAAAAATTGTTTTGCGCATGTCCCGTTTCAAAACACGGCTTAACTTAAACGAAAAATTAACATCGAAGTGAACAAATAGGTACATAGAAAAATCGGAAAATATCATTTACGTTACTTTACACTACGTGCATGGATGCCTCATTCCTTAACTGTATAAATCGATTACCGTATTGTTTTCTGAATAACGTTTTACTATTTCATGTTCTGATAAATAGTTACAGTGAACATTATATAGCTACAATATCACTATGCACTAGATATGTACCGCCTCCGTGGTCGAGGGGTTAGAGTCGATGACTTTAGAGTCGATGACTTTTAATCCAGTAAACTCTCTGGCGTGGGTTCGATCCCCGGGAGATGCTTTTTTTGTTAGTTTAGCGCGGAGGAAGGGAACGATGGTTAGGAAACTACCTGCCTATATGACTAAAATACTGTTGGGAAAAGGCGTACAATGAAACAAACAAACATATTATATGACCGAGTGAACCGTGTATTGAACCGGTATATCTAAATAACGCAAAGGGAGATTTTTTGGCGCAAATGGCACAAATTTTATGTCAAGTTTGATTTTCTTCAAATATTGTGGTTGGAGGCATGAAGCTTTATATACTGTTTATTCCAATAAACAGTATATAACAGTATAACAGTATATAACAGTATTTACTGTTTTTTCCAATCAAATGATATCAACATTTTTTATGTAAACTTTATACTCGTTTTGGAAAATGTAGAGGAAATGCTTCCTTATATTAAACAAAACAGTGACCGACAATTTGCATATTTGAACTTTACAAGAAACTTTTATTTTGAAAATACTTTTAATATATATATAATTTTTCTACAAAGGGAACTGAATTTAAAATACAAATGTAAATGATATATATCATTTAATTTACATTAAGTAATTTTACAATTTTTTTGGTAAAAAAAAGTATCCCTAATGCGTTAAGAAAAAAGTCCATTTCTCCGGCATATAATCTTTTAAAACATTAAAAAAGATGAAATGTAAAACAAACTTTCATTGCAATATATATAATAAATTCTATTTTGTTTAATAATTGTAATTTATAAACATTCATTGTGTCTGTTATGCAAAAATATCCCCAAATATTTTCGAATTTAACAAATTTTCCACAGCAGCAAAAAGACCTCTCGCAGGCTTCTTTTTAAAGAAGCAAACTTGTTATCATTATTATTAATAATGTTGTTGTTGTCGTACTGGTCGGGTCAGGGCAGGTCGGGTCGATTTTGTCGCTTTTTTAGCAATGCACGTGATTTCTTGCATTCGACATTCACTCATAAATTTACACACATGAACTATATAAACACAAGTCACGTTCCAATAAACACACTGCATGCACTATACACACCACATATAGTGTATAGATTAATAGATTAATCAATAAAACCTTTTCTGAGCTCTTTTGTATACAAAAAAAAATTACGATAAATTATCAACACAAATGAGGTTCAATAAAGTGTTATAAAGCATAAACAATAGAAAGCATAAATAGAAACATACCCTCTTTCCCATCTGCAAGTTTTAGTCACCTTTTTTCTGAACGTTCAAATAGTGTTAAACTTCATTAGGCGAACCATTTACAGATACTCAAAATAGTACTGTAAGCTCAGAAACAATAACCCATACCTTTATTAATCAATATCCGATCAGTTAGTTATATGATTGTACACCGGTTACGTCAAGCTTTGCTACTTCAGATTTTTCTGAACAAGGGGAGTAACTGTTTTGGGAAGATAAACTGCGTACGGCATTGTATACGGAAGGGAATATTCGTTCGTCCTTTGAGTTGTTTGATATTCTAACATGCTAATTCATATTTTATTACGAAACTTTTGCGGACATGCTTATCAATATGACCCCTTTCTTATATAAAATTATAGAATGATATGACGACATTTTAATTTAATTTAAATGGCGCAAACGGCACACATTTTTCTCAAGTTTGATTTTGTGGTTGGAGGCATGCAGCTGTAAATATTGTTTATTCCAATCAAATATATATATATATATATCTTTAATGTAAATCTTGAACAAAAATTGTTTGATTGACATACTTTATGTCCGTTTTGGAAAATCTCTGTTGCCTTTTATGCAAAAATATCTCAAAATATTTTGAAAATAATAATCTTCAACAGCTGCAAAAAGACCTCTCGCATGCTTCTTTTTAAAGAAGCAAACTGTATTGTAAAGATGTGAAGGAAGCCGGGAACTAATATTTATACACATGCCATTCTTAGAGGACTTTCATCATTTTCAGTTCATAGTCCTATAGTTCATAGTCAAATACCGTATCTGTTCTGTATGGTGGCTGATTTGTGCCATTCGTGTTTTCGCCCCGCGACCCCGCCAAACGAAAATTAGAGAATTAACAAGTTAAAATAGCGGGGGCGCGGAGCGAAATCACGCTTATTAGCGGGGACGCGGGGCGAAGTTTAATAAATAAATTAGCGTGTTTTCGATCCGCGCCCCCGCCATTTTAACTTGTTAATTTTCGACTTTTCGCTTGGCGGGGTCGCGGGGCGAAAACACAAATGACACAAATCAGCCACCATAGTTCTGTGAATTCTTACTATTGTGTTCGAAGTTTGGAAATTATTATTCTTAAAGGAGTAAGGTTTGTAATTAGGACTTATTAACTCATTTTGGTTAATTGCACAAGTAAGACAATTTAACAATATTTCCTGGTTTAAACTAATTAATATTTTACAAACTTCGTTTAACAATATATTTTACAGGTACTTTTGATATTTTTGTTTTACCTTTTTAGCCACATATTGTACTTGATTTTAGTGACAAGTAGTTTCTTGCGTATATGATTCTCTTGTCTTATATAGAATGGCTGTGTTCATGTTTTATGATATCGTTTGTAATATTATACTGTGTGTACATATATAAATGAGACTTAAATAAATAAATAAAATGTATACACATGATTGGATGTGCATTTTTAGCGAACCCACTTTGACAAAATATAAAACCTACACATTTTATGTTTTTCTTACATTTTTTAAAACAAACACAAAGTGTTAATTAAATATCAAATACATCTTACTGTAGATAATATATGACACATAATTAGAAAGTCTCACTAATCGAAAATTTGATAAATTATATTATAAATACGCTTCAGTGCATAGGAGATAACACAAATTAATGTGTATTTGCGTTTCATGTATAGTTATGTCCCCTTTCTATTGAAATTTATGAACACATATATATAAGAGACTAAATGATTGTGTACATATATACTGTGCTCCTCTTAGTTCACGGTATTTAACACTTTAAAACAGTAAAGAACACAAACAATAAACTTACACTACAAAAACTGTCATAAACTGTATCATTTAGTCATTTTTCTGCTATATGACACAAGGAAACAACAATATATTCAATCAAAATTAGTTTTAATTTGTCAAATGTAAACCGTGTGTCGGCCATTTTGAAAACAGTATGTCATCATTTACCTCGCGGTAATGGTGTTTTATTTCAGTTTTTTCATGTTTCAGTTAAAATTTCTGTAAGTTATTTTGCATAATTATAAACATTAAAAGTATTTTTACATTGTAACTCAAATTTTTTTTTTCAACAAACAAGAACATTTAGAAAATGATGATTGTTTCAGACGTATGCACAAATTTAATGGAATATTGTTGTTTTTTGCAGAAGTTTGTAAAATGTTGTTCAGTTTTATGTAAAAATCTATAGATTTAAATTATTTTGCACAAAAACTTTGTTGTTAAGGTGTTTGAATAAAATATGTAAATTCTGACCAATTATAACAATGGTCACATGAAAATATGCCATTACCGTGAGATAAATGATGACGCGGAATTAGTGATGTTGAGTATACTAGATACATGTAGAGGTATGTTCAGATATTATGCATGCATATTTTGTAATATTATATATTGTTTAAAATTTATTTGTAATATATGTACAACATGGGTTTATGACCTTCTGGTTTGATTGAATAAAATCTTGAAATCTTTATCTTTCCTATTTGGAATGTCAACATTGTTATCAAGTTTGTAAAAGGATTAGGCTGTTATAGGTGGTTTTTTTTACTTCACCTTGGTATTTTTATAAACAAAACATGTTCCTCCATATAGTTATATAGTTAACACACTGTGTAAACGTACAATAGATTACTTTAAATAGAATAATTATACTGAGCAACGGGTGATTTAAACTTACAAATGGGAAAGAAGGTGAGTGAATTTTTACCAAATTATTCCTGATAAATAATAATTTAAAGGTACAAATCTGCTCCAAATTTAAAACTTGGCAAATCCATTTCACAAATTTAGAAGGTTAAAGCTGGGACATACGATTATTTATAAGTGGGACGGGAAATAAGACATCTGGACCGGGTTGTTCAAAACATTGGTTAGTGTTAACCAGTGGTTAAATTCATTATCCACTGGTTAAATTTTGTCTGCTGGATAGATTCTGTTGCTCAAAACTTATCCAACGGATAAAATGCGTTATCCAGCGGTTAACTTTAAGCAGTCCAATGACCACCGGATAATGCCCTTAACCAGTGGTTAGTCATCATCATTAAAACAGTAAAAATCATTAAAACTTGTTTAAAACCAGATTTTTCTTACAAAGATATGTTTATTTTTCTTAACTAGAACATTTCATATGAAATGCATAGGATATTAAACTGAAACATTTAAAAAAATGTGCTTTTAGAACCCTTTTTCAATCTAAATTTGTTGTTGTTGTAGTTCAGAAAATTCAGTTAAACAGTCATAACTTTCTTATTTTTCAATAAAACATACAAGTGTCAGTACTCATTTTCTTAGTTAGAACATTACCCATCTAATGGAAGTAATTTCAATTCAAAATTTGAAAAAAAGTTGTTTTTTAATTTTTTCTTATGCGTGTCTAAGGGAAAAATAAATATATCAATACTTTAAGGCCTCTGATATACTTTTTGTTTAATTCCAATAACAAGAAAGCACAAAACATGCAAAACCATTTTTTGGGAGCTTTTTGATTCTAATAAATTTATTATTCATAAAAAAAAATCAGCCATTTTGTTTCCAGAATCACTAACCAACCCTGTTGCATTGTGGTACTTAACCAGTGGATAAATACGCTATCCACTGGTTAGGTAGCCAGTGTACTATCCAACTATTGAACAATGAAATTTTATCCACTGGATAGCTGGCCGCTGGTTAAGGATTTAGCCAGTGGATAAGCTATCCATTGGTTAATTTTAACTAATGTTTTGAACAACCCGGTTTGATTCTGGAAACAAAATGGCCGATTTTTGATGAATAATAAATCTATAAGAATCAAGAAGCTCCCAAGACTTAATTTTGCATGTTTTGTGCTTTCATGTTTTTGGAAATAAACAAAAAAGTATATCAAAGGCCTTAAAAGTATCGATATATCTATTTTCCCTTAGACGCACATATGAAAAAAAATCAAAAACATTTTTTTTTTTAAATTGTGATTTGAAATTACTTCCATTAGATGGGTAATGTTCTAACTAAGAAAATGAGTACTGACACATGTATGTTTTATTAAAGAATAAGAAAGTTATGACTGTTTAAGTGAATTTTCTGAACTACAACAACAACAAATTTAGATTGAAAAAGGGTTCTAAAAGCACTTTTTCAGAAATGTTTCAATTTAATCCTATGCATTTCAGATGAAAAGTTCTAGTTAAGAAAAAATAAACATATACAGTAGAACTTCTATGAGTCGAACTTCGATTAGTCGATTTTCTCGATGTGTCGAATAAAAATGAAAGTCCCGACTCTCCCCCCTATATATTCCTTATAAAAACCTATTTATGAGTCGAAATTTTATGGCCCGAATTTTTCGTTTGTGTCAGGTTTTTCTTTGGGCCCGTATAAAGTAAATCTAGGGGAAATTTTTACCAAAAAAACCGAAGTCGTTGGGATTTTTTTGAACCCTTTGCCCCTCGAAGACTTTTTTCCCACCCCCTTTTGGGGCCAAAGCGTTTTCCCCAATAAATTTGTGTGATAGGTTTTTAAAAAAACCCCACCCCTTGGTTTTTTAAAACAGCCTTTGTTTGCAAAAAATATTTTGAAAAAATGTTTTTAATCGTAATTTTTTTAAATTGGGCCGTAGTGGTTTTTTGAAAAAAAACAGTAAGAATACTTCACATTTTCTTTTAAAAAACCCTTGCCCCGGGTTTGTCGCTTTTGGAAGTAAACGGAAAAAATTTACTTTTAACGGGGTTTAGTTATCGCCTTTCTTTAATCATACCCCTTTTTGAAAATTTTTGGGGGTAGTCGTGAAAAAAAACGTAATTTGACATGCTAATTATTTATCATTGTAAAATTTAAAGATAAGATTAATGATGGGAAAACATGAAATATGTTTCGTTATAGAGCTTATAATTAGGACTAGTCACGGGTCGAAATTTTGTCATGGAATTGAGAGCGATTCATGAGTCGAAGTCTCGATGTGTCGAAGTTTTTACGCAAGTCCCTTCAACTTCGACTTACCGAAGTTCTACTGTATTTGTAAGAAAAATCTGGTTTTAAACAAGTTTTAATAATCTTTACTGTTTTAATGATGATGACTAACCACTGGTTAAGGGCATTATCCGGTGGTCATAAGACTGGTTAAAGTTAACCGGGCTGGAAAGCGGCATTTTAT